GTAGAGAGGCTTTAAAGAAGATGCATTACCTGAAGCTAAGTTTGTTAAATTCCCCATGGGCCCCTGTGCACATAGCAACTGTCTTAACCATTAACCACTTGCCCTCCAGAGGATTCACCCCCCTTCCTGATCAGGCCATTCTTTGCGTTACGGAGCTGCGTTACTTTAATTGACAACTGCGGTCATGCAATGCGGCACCCAAATGAAATTTACTTCCTTTTTCCCCCCACAAGTAGAGCTTTCTTTCGGCGCTATTTGATCACCTGTGCGTTTTTAATTTTTTGTGCTACAAACAAAAAAAGACCGACAATTTTGAGAAAAAATATTTTTGACATTTTGCGATTAAACATGTCCAATAAAAAAAATTTTAAAAAGCAAATTTTGTCATAAATTTAGGGCAAAATGTATTCTGCTACATGTCTTTGCTAAGAAAAAAATCCCAGTACTTGCAAATTTATTGGTTTACATGAAAGTTATAGTGTTTAAATGGCAGTGTATATATTGTAATTTTTTTTTTTTAAACTAGTAATGGTGGCGATCAGCGACTTATAGCAGGACTGCGGTGGGCATTCTGACACTGGGGGGAACTGACTTGGTGTCACTGACATCTCCAGTACAGTGATCAGTGCTAATAAAAAGCACTGACACTTTACTAATGGCAATGGGCAGGAAGGGGTTAACATTTGGGGCGACCAAAAGAATAATTGTGTGCTGTGTTTCGTTTTACTATCTGGCTGTGTCTGTGCTTTCCACTGTAAGCACACTGATCTGTATGGCTCTGCTATACAAAGCAGCGTGCTGGAGCAGACGGGGGGGGGGGGGGGAACTGTATTGTTTACATACAGTTCTCTCCCCCCCGTTGGTATTACTCGGAGATCACCGGGTGCCGGCGAGTAACCATCGGCCGGGACCCGGTGATTGACAACCAAGGTCACTTGCACCCCCTAGCTGGAACACACACACACACACACACACACACACACACACACACACACACACACACACGTACGTATATATACACAGTGGGGCAAAAAAGTATTTAGTCAGCCACCAATTGTGCAAGTTCTCCCACTTAAAAAGATGAGAGAGGCCTGTAATTGGCATCATAGGTAGACCTCAACTATGAGAGACAAAATCAGAAAAAAAATCCAGACAATCACATTGGCTGATTTGGAAAGAATTTATTTGCAAATTATGGTGGAAAATAAGTATTTGGTCACCTACAAACAAGCAAGATTTCTGGCTCTCACAGACCTGTACCTTCTTCTTTAAGAGGCTCCTCTGTCCTGCACTCATTACCTGTATCAATGGCACCTGTTTGAACTTGTTATCAGTATAAAAGACACCTGTCCACAACCTCAAACAGTCACACTCCAAACTCCACTATGGTGAAGACCAAAGAGCTGTCGAAGGACACCAGAAACAAAATTGTAGACCTGCACCAGGCTGGGAAGACTGAATCTGCAATAGGCAAGCAGCTTGGTGTGAACAAATCAACTGTGGGAGCAATAATTACAAAATGGAAGACATACAAGACCAATGATAATCTCCCTCGCAAGATCTCACCCCGTGGGGTCAAAATGATCACAAGAACGGTGAGCAAAATTCCCAGGACCACACGGGGGGACCTAGTGAATGACCTGCAGAGAGCTGGGACCAACGTAACAAAGGCTACCATCAGTAACACACTACGCCGCCAGGGACTCAGATCCTGCAGTGCCAGATGTGTCCCCCTGCTTAAGCCAGTACATGTCCGGGCCCATCTGAAGTTTGCTAGAGAGCATTTGGATGATCCAGAAGAGGATTGGGAGAATGTCATATGGTCAGATGAAACCAAAATAGAACTGTTTGGTAGAAACACAACTCATCGTGTTTGGAGGAGAGAGAATGCTGAGTTGCATCCACAGAACACCATACCTACTGTGAAGCATGGGGGTGGCAACATCATGCTTTGGGGCTGTTTCTCCGCAAAGGGACCAGGACGACTGATCCATGTACAGGACAGAATGAATGGGGCCATGTATCATGAGATTTTGAGTGAAAACCTCCTTCCATCAGCAAGGGCACTGAAGATGAAATGTGGCTGGGTCTTCCAACATGACAATGATCCCAAACATACCGCCCGGGCAACGAAGGAGTGGCTTCGTAAGAAGCATTTCAAGGTCCTGGAGTGGCCTAGCCAGTCTCCAGATCTCAACCCCATAGAAAACCTTTGGAGGGAGTTGAAAGTCCGTGTTGCCCAGCGACAGCCCCAAAACATCACTGCTCTAGAGGAGATCTGCATGGAGGAATGGGCCAACATACCAGCAACAGTGTGTGCCAACCTTGTGAAGACTTACAGGAAATGTTTGTTATATATCCTTTGTTGGCAATGACAGAGGTCAAAGTATTGAGATGAACTTTTGATATTGACCAAATACTTATTTTCCACCATAATTTGCAAATAAATTCTTTCCAAATCAGCCAATGTGATTGTCTGGATTTTTTTTCTCATTTTGTCTCTCATAGTTGAGGTCTACCTATGATGCCAATTACAGGCCTCTCTCATCTTTTTAAGTGGGAGAACTTGCATAATTGGTGGCTGACTAAATACTTTTTTGCCCCACTGTGTGTGTATATATATATATATATATATATATATATATATATATATACACACACACACACACACACACACACACACATATATATACACACACATACACACATGTGGTTTTGCACACCCCTGCTGCCCTGTAGCAGTATTTCTTCTATAGGCTGGTGGTAAAGCGGTTAAAATCCAGAGTAGTATAATGTAAATAAAATAAATCTTTCTTTCCTGTCATTCCTGGCTGGGGTGGGAATGAGATTACAGCCAGCACTGTATGCCACCACCTCTCCATTCTGCCGTGCCATGTCTCTTCATCTCTCCTCTTAGCTAATACTGCAGCCTGCTACTCAGGGGAGAGAGTGGAAACTGTTGGCTTGTGTTTTGAATGATTGCATTTGGAGAAAAAGAAGGACTTTCATCCACAACAATACAATCTTACAATAGCATGCAACAGCTACTATTGTTTTCTGGAACAGCCTAACATAGTACATGTCTTGTGTTGTTGTCAGATTGCCCGGAGGGGGAGGCAGGCATTCTGATCATATGACTGTTGTGACTGCCAGTTACAAAGGTCACATGATCCTAAAGCTTCTGATCACAAGCATGCATCGGGAGCTTTCTGGTACCTGATAGTTCCTGGGCTGGGAAGTGTTCTCAGCACAGAACATACTGTATATGCCAACTCGGCGTTAAACCCCACCAGCCAAAAGGTCGCATACATGCATATGGCTGGCAGGAAGTGGTTAAATCAGCTAAATATACTTTGGTACATTTAAACAAAAAAGGTATTCAAAGTCCACTAGGGCCCACTCACATCAACCTGGTCATCTATGGTGTGTTAAACGCAGCATGCTAATATGCTTTGGGTTAAGGCAGCTCATTTATTTGAATGGTCTGCCTAAAGCATTATAACTGACTAAAAATCATGCATAGAGAATTTGCAGATGTTGTGCTGCAATGCAAATGAGCTGGGTAGGTTATCTTTGGGTGGCATTCAGAATGAATGGCCTAGCATCGCTCCACTGTACATAACACAGAGCAATGATATGAACAGACTCTTACACGTTGTATTTTTTCTTGTAAACAGCCCAAACCGAGTAGAAAAGCCTGTGGTCTTTCTGCAGAGGTTTGACACACCCCCTGCTGATTCACAATTACAGCTCTCCAATTAGCAGGGAGCATAAACTTTGCTGATTGAAGATATATACTGTAGATAAGACCTTTTCAGAGAGACCACTGCTTCCACATGCTGCCAGGGACATGCCTTTCTACTCAGGATGTGGCTGCTTTCTAAAAAAACAAACGGTAACACTTTTCAATATATATTTAGCTGCTTTAAACTGAAAAGTCAATTGAGCTTTAATTTACACATGGACACTTGATTACACTGACAATATTTTAAAAGGACAATGATCGTGACTTTAATCAGATTTGAACAATATGTACAGAAAACAGAAAAATTTGATCATTGTATGCTTTTTCAAATATGTTACTTCAAAGATAATTCTTCATTAGAATATACAACCATTAGTGGACCAAAAGTGATGACAATGGGTCATTGAAAGACCTATTTTAGTACAGAGTACTATATAATCTCCCTTGTAAGCAGTATATTTGGTTTCACTTTTGAACAGCTCTTGGTGCACTTCTACTTCCATAAATTGCTGTACCTGTATGCAACTCAAAAATTTCACAACTTGGCTAGGAGTTTTATATAAAACTTCCATGATCCTTAGCAGTCAGATGAGTAACGCTTTCTTGCCACTCATGCTTCAAAATGTTCTTCTTTGCAGATAACAGCTGCTGCAGATTGCAGTGAATGTAAAGCAGGGGTGTGAACACTATTTCCAAATGATTAGGGTGTGCATAATTATAACTACAGGGAGACACTGATGAGTTGGGTAAACAATCTCTGACCTGCAAAATCATGGCTTCCTAGATATGATTGTGCAAATTTTGTCCATTGTATGTACTTCCACTCTTACATTTCCTGTTTGATTACAGTTACCTAGCTCCTAAATAATACCATTCTACAACTCCAAAAATCAAGGTAGCAACACTAAATAAATACTGTTAGGAAATGGACCTGCAAACACTAAGTATTGTATTATATTCGTCTGTGATAGACCCAATCTTTTGATAATATCTGCTACAGCTCAATATTTGTTCCGGTATCCAAAGGTCAGTATGATAGTTTGGTCAGACAATAATATTATATCTCATTCTGTGTCCACTTATCCTCCATGTGACCTAGTCGAGTTTAGCTTTTTAACATTTGGATCCTTCAGATTTGGAAACAACTGTCAGAGGATAAAGTTGTCAGACACAAATCTACTTCTGAAAGTGCAAGTCCATCTTTAACTAATAAGAAACAGCAAGTGGAACATTTGCAGAAGCATCGACTTCTTACCTTTGGATTATTGGCATCAAACAAACCAGTTGAGAGCCCAATTAATAGTGCTGTCTTGCCTTTGGTTTTAACTGGAGATGCAGATCGGGAACGAGGTGGCAAGGAATCATCAAATGAAGACTGGGCAGAAACATTAGGGGTAACAACATTATGAGGGAGAGGAACTCTACTGAATAATGCTTTGGGTGAAGTGGAGTTTCCAATATCATTATCTGCAGTAAAACAAAACATAGCGATTACTAAACATGAACATTTCTTCTTTTTGACTTTTGCAGTGAATACCTATTTTAAGCGTCTTGCCGTGCATGGTGCACAGAGATTAACGTTAAACAATTCTGATGTTGGAAGCATTTGTTATCTCCCAGGGGTACCACTAGGCAGACAGTTACCAAATCTGCATGAAAATAGGCCATTTATTACCAGCTTAAGTCACCTAGAAGGAAATTGTAAGTGTACCTGACCTCCACACCTACAGTTATGTGCTGAACTTTTATAGCCCTTGGTGGACAGCTGAATTTTGTGTATGCCATTGTGGGGACCTGCAATAATGCATTCTCTGCCCTTCACAGAAACTAGATCAAGGGCAGCCTAAAGCACAATCTCAGTTCTGTGATGAGCATTAAGTATAGCTTATATATTTATTTACCATACAACATGGGTGCCCCGTCTATATCTATACCTATATTTTACTTAGAAGATTAAGCATAGAACAGAACAAAAAAGTAAACAAAAATAAAAATACTATATATTCCCTTTAAAGAAGACAGACTGACCCATTCCATGTTCACTTTCAGAGTCGGCTGTATCTTGCTGAACATCTTTTCTGGGAGATTCATGGTCATGCACAGGATGCTTTTCTTCCTCACTGAAAGATAGATAGATGGGTAGACAGACAAATACTTATATTTTAATAGATTCTCTATACGAAGAAAAAAAAAAAAACACAAGCAGATTATAAACAGTGTATAACTGCATTTCATGGTGTGGCCCTAACAAGCCCTACATGAGCACAGTGCTGTAAACCAGTCTGGTTCATAGCTTGGCCTAGTAAAAGGGTCATATGTTTTGTACTAGAAATCTGTAAAAGTGGATATCTGCGTTTAAAGTGGTTGTAAAGGCTCCCCGCAGCAATACTTACCAGAGCCTGATCCCAATCCAGCGATGTGCATGAGAGCCTCGGCTCTCTCTCTCCTCATTGACTGAGACAGAACAGTGGGAGCCATTTGCTCCCGCTGCTGTCAATCACAGCCAGTGAGAAGGAACACAGAAGCGGCTCAGGAGTAAGCATACACAAGTGCCCCTAGAGCAAGCAACTTGCTCTGGGGGCACTCAGCAGGAGGAAGGGGCAAGAAGCACTGGTGGGAGACCCGGGAAGAGGAGAATCAGAGCTGCTCTGTGCAAAATCATTGGTAAGTATGATGTATTTATTATTGTAAAGAAAAATAACACCTTTATAACCACTTTAAACCTGGCCTAAAACAAAAAATAATGGTCACTTAAAGATCTAAAAAAATTGGCCTGGAGAAGGTGCTAGTCTTGGAAGATAAACTGCACCTAATGTATCAAAGTGAGACCTATTCAAACCAATGCATATGTAATAAGCAGGCCAAATCCATTAGATGGAAGTGGCATATGCAGGTACAATCCAGCTACTGAAAAATCTTTCAGTAGACAGACCTAAATGTGCAAAAGGAGGGAACAGAAAAGGAGGCAGAAACAATTGGCACTAGCCTTACCTGGAGGTAACAACAGTGATCAGGCAAAACTATCTGGTGTTGCTCACAGCTTGCTACGGTAAGATATTTAAACAGTTGCCATTACTGCACTCTGTTGTATTTTTAAGACATTTTTCTATACAAAATAGTTGTCCAGTCTGGTAATATTCATCTCAAGCTTGTAATTACCTTTAAATTGGCCTTTGATCCAATTATTTGGCATACAGTATGTACATCTAAAAACTATTTTTCCTATGTTGAAAAGGAGTACTAGAGTCTGTACATTTCCCACTTGCTTTTACGAACATGCCAAATCATTTTGCATAATAGAAATATAAGTGCTTGGCTAATGGCTGAACTTAAGTTTTAGGGGATAGGATGTGGTTCAAGGGCACTTGCCTTGCCATGGCAAATATTGATGCCATATGTTTGGCTGTTATGGTGATCTAATAGCATCAGCTGTTTGAGTAACAGTTTTGTTTGCTGCATTCTTTTTGTGATTTGGTTACTCTGAAATACTAAAATCAGACACGGTCAGGCAACTTGCACTGTCAAAAAAGGAGGTGAGCAACGGCAGCCTACACATTTTTCATAAGAGGCATACTTTAAAAGTTAGGTTTAGCCAGCAGGAAGTGACATTTGGAAGAGGGCAACATCATTAACATCTGTGAATACGGCACTTTTCATTTACTTTCCCATAACAGAGATAAAAGAGAGGGAGATATTTCATACAGTTGATTAAATTTTATAGCAACCAGAACTGACAAGTGATAGAAGTGGCCACAGTGAAAAGCACTATATGCCGAGATCTGGCACCCATGTGTGCAAATTCTCGGGGAGTTCTAGTTTTTCAGCAGGGGACCATTAAGGGGTTAAGTGGAAATCTGATCCAGGCTCATTCCATTCGCAGTTGTCTGCCAGGTATGTTGCACAACTCAGCATGCTTTACAGATTTTTCAGTATCACATAATTGCCATTCATATAAGAAAGCTATGTAACTGTCATGGATTAAGCTGTAAATGGACTATGTGATAATCTGAAGAGCTGATTGATGGGACTGTGCAATTACTGTACCTTTCTTCTTTGGCTTGCTCATTCCAAACACTCATGGCCTTGACAGGACGCTCATCACTTGCATTTCCTTTGGTATCTTCCAGCATTTCAGCCTCCAAATCCTCAGGCTCCTCTGTTGTAAAAGAAAAATACCTTTGTATAAAGAACTGCTATGCACGCACATAGAAATTAAGTGTACTTTCCTATTTAAAAATAAATAAAATGTATGAGGTCATTTATTATTAAAGGATAAGTTTACCTGTTGAAAAAAATAATAACATACACAGTTTTATAATTATTATTATACAGGATTTATATAGCGCCAACAGTTTATGCATTGCTTGACAACATAAGGGAAGACAGCAAAATTACAATACAAATTAATATAGGAAGGATCAGAGGGCCCTGCTCCTTTTTTTTGCAGGCATAAAAATGTGCATTTAGTTATTTTTTTTCTAAGGAGCCTGCAGAGCATTGCACCCATGATCAGCAGATTGCAAGTGCAATTTCAGGTTCTTGTAGACTCTCAGGATAGCTGTCTTCCTGTACCTTGTACAGGCAGGCAGTTAATTGAGAGCAGGAAGAATCAGTTGACCAGTACCCTCACAGTTCATTTAGAACTACAAGCCATCAGCCAGGATGGTTGATGGTACATGTGTGCTATTCATTTACAGGAAACCACGAATGAATGACTCGGCCATGAAGGTGGAACCTGGCACAACCATGCTGTCTTTAAATTGTGAAGAATCCCCGGCCCGTTGTCACAGGAAGGGGGTAGCAGGAATGCGGGGTGCAGATGCTGGAACATGTGACATGTTCCATAGAAAATTATCCTGTAAGCTTCCTAATTTATTGTCACTGCTGGGCAAAGATTTTAAGTGTATCTATGGTCAAATGGTAAAATCATAGATTCATTTGTACACTGCATTGCAATACTTTCTAGCTTCCTCTTATGAATCTGATCAATTTTGAAATCTGTAAACTCATTTTTTGAAGATCTCCACATATTTACTAACTTAAATTTTGTGACACATATTCAATATGCCCTGAGAGATGGCCAGCAGACAGGCAGAACTCATAACATGAAAGATTTTCTTATAGGCCTATATTGAAATGTGAAAAATAACTGTGTCTGTATCAGGGGAGGACTGACAACTCATGGGGCCCCCGGGCAATAGGGGGTCATGGGGCCCCTGTGTCCTTGCCCAAACTCAAAAAAGCCTATGAAAAATGTACCTGGGGCATCTCATGGGGACCCCTACTGACCACAGGCCCTCGGGCAGTGCCCGAGTTTCCAAATGGTCAGTCCGCCCCTGGTCTGTATTGTTTTGCAATGCTGATGTTTTAAAATGAAAGTGTGGTGAATGCTGTGACCATAGATTTCCTCTACATTTTTCATCGTGAACATGATTTTTATTTAATTTATAATATACAGAAGTGACAAGTAAAATTTTGTCAAAATGCAAAAGAATTGCTCTCACTGGTGTCCAGAAAGAAATTTTCTACTACTCAACCAAACATGTCCCTTTTCAAATGCAAACTCCTTCAATCTTTTAAAAAACACCATTTGATTTGACCTGCTACCATGGGGCCCGAAGCGGCTGAAACAAACTGTGAAATTTGCAATCATTGCTGCTATTGGGCTTTTCTGTAAGGACCAATTGATTTTTTTTCTATTAGGTATAGTTGTGTATATATTTATTTATATATATTTTTTTTACAGATTTATAGATTCATTGGGAGAGATGGAATTTTAGCTTCATTGCATTTTTAAACTTTTAACATAACTTCAGTGCTGCACATTTTTATTTTTTTTTCATGTTGCTGTGGTAGATTAACAGCATGTGCTGGCTTTTTGTTTGTTTTTGTTTAGGTTGTGCAATGACACTGTACCCGCCTGGCCGCATCTATGCATTGGCTGGGTGGGAGGTGGTTAAATCATGATGACATCCTGTCAAGTAACTACAATGAAAGGCACTGCATGCAACTCTGGGACTGCTTTAAGGTGGAAGATATGGGCTATCACCCAATCAAATTGGTTATAGTCAAATTGGGAAGTGTTTATAAATAACACTGCTCAGATGTGAATATACAAAGTAACATACTGTTCCTTTTTTATCATTGTGTTCATTCATCTGCAGGTCAAAACGGAATTAACCTAAATCTGCAAATATCAGTTAAAGCAACCTGAGAAGTAAAAAAAAATAAAATGCTCCTCTGTTTAACCCCTTATTAAACCTTCGTTACTCAAATTCCTTATTCTTCTTCCTTAAACTATTATTTTACTGCTGATTGTTGTCCTTTTCTATTTTATTAACTATTAATATGTACTTTTGTTTGTATGTTAGTATTTGAACATATGTAACATACTTACACATTTCCCATTTAAAAAAGTGCTAAATTGAAAAAAAAAACAAAAAAAAAAAAAACACTTTATTTCAAACTTTGTACCTGAATACTACTTTTAGTGTAATTTAAAAAAAGGACAAATTACAGAATAAAATGCGTCTTTATGCAGTAATATTTTTAAACTAATACTGCTCAAAAAAAAAGTGTTTTTTTTTTTTAGTTTTGTTGAGTGCTATTGCCTAAGCCCTGATTCACACCAATGCAATTTGTCATGCAATTTGACCATTCAAAATCGGTTGAAAAGTTGCACCCTATTTGCAGCAATGGAACCGGTCAAATTGTTGCGACTCAATTCGCAGAAACTTTGAAAGAGGTTCCTGCACTATTTTTCTTTGTGACTTGCATTGACTTCTACTAAATGATGTCGCAAGCTGCAATAAAATCACATATCAAAATCGCACTAATCAACGGCTTTAGAACAGTGCTGAAGTAGTGCAATTTCATTGCAGCACTGGTTTAAACCAGGGCTAAGGATTGCAAAAAAAATAAATAAATAAATTCTTGTAAGACAATATCATGTCAAGAAAGGCTTGTTTGTCCTTAAAAAACAATATATGTATTACCTTAAGTAATGCCAAAATATTTCTGAAAAAACAGGTCCATAGCAGAAATGTAAAAATGAGTCTGGTCCATAGGGATGAACAGGTGTTGGAGGCAAAGTGATTAATCTGGCTTTCAGTAATTAGATCAGAAATTGCTCAACTGCCTATGAACACATTTCAGTCTCTACATGCAACTTCTGGTCAGGCAAGGGGAAAACTACTGCTGTTTCCCCCTAGATAAGCTAGCTTCACAAACACATACACTCACCGGCCACTTTATAAGGTACACCTTGCTAGGACTCCCTTTTGCCTTCAGAACTGCCTTAATGATTCATGGCATACATTCAACAAGGTGTTGGAAATATTCCTCAGAGATTTTGGTCCATAGTGACATGATAGCATAACGCAGTTGCTGCAGATCTGTCAGTTGCACATACATGATGGGAATCTCCCATTCCACCACATCCCAAAAGTGCTCTATTTGATTGAGATCTAGTGACTGTAGAGGCCATTGAAGTACAGTGAACTCATGGTCATGTTCAAGGAACCAGTTTGAGATGATTGGAGCTTTGTAACCGGTGCATTATCCTGCTGGAAGTAGCCATCAGAAGATGGGTACACTGTAGTCATAAAGGGATGAATATGGTCAGCAACAATACTCAGGTAGGTTATGGCATTTAAACAATGCTCAGTTGGTACAAAGGGGCCCAAAGTGTGCCAAGAAAATATCCCCCACACCACTACAATACCACCACCAGCCTGAACCATTGATACAAGGCAGGATGGATCCATGCTTTTACTGTATGTTGTTTACACCAAAATTCTGACCCTACCAGCTGTCGCAGCTGAAATTGAGACTCATCAGACCAGGCAACGTTTTTCCAATCTTCTTTTGTCAATTTTCATGAGCCTGTGCAAATTGTAGCCTCCGTTCCCTGTTCTTAGCTGACAGGAGTGAAACCTGGTGTGGTTTTTTGCTGCTGTAGCCCACACGCTTCAAGGTTCCATGTGTCGTGCATTCAGAGATGATTTTCTGCATACCTTGGTTGTAACGGGTGGTTATTTGAGTTACAGTTGCCTTTCGATCATCTTGAACCACTCTGCCCATTCTCCTCTGACATCAACAAGGCATTTTCGTCCACACAACTGCCGCTCACTGGATATTTTCTCTTTTTTGGACCATTCTCTGTAAACCCTAGAGATGGTTGTGCGTGAAAATCCCAGTAGATCAGCAGCAGCAGTTTTTGAAATACTCAGACCAGCTCGTCTAGCACCAACAACCATGCCATGTTCAAAGTCACTTCAATCCCCTTTCTTCCCCATTGTGACACTCGGTTTTAGATTCAGCAAGTCGTCTTCAGCATGTCTAGATGCCTAAATGCATTGAGTTGTTGCCATGTGATTGATGATTAGCAGTTTGTGTTACCAAGCAATTGAACAGCTGTACCTAATAAAGAGGCCGGTGAGTGTACATCAAACAGAAGCAATCATGCATGCAGATCTTTTGCCAGCTGAATCTTCTAACCATCACATGTATATGGTTAGCTTTCCAGGTTTTTTAATGTCATGTTTCTGTCTGCCCAGAGCCAAAATACCCCAGGTCCCTTGAGAATGGATCACAGAGCAAATTTCTCAGGGCATCTGGATACAACTGACAGCATCACCTAAACAAGCATTGCGCCTATCCCTTTAAGTACAAATGGATAAACAAATGAAAAAAAGTCATAATAACCAGACAAGACACTTCATTGTCTTTAAAGGAAATGGTCTGACATGGGTTGATAAAGATGAAAAGGAAAGAGTGTAAATCCATACAGATTATTACTGGGTATGGTAATCACTTATCACCATTCCACTTTAACATTTTATTATAAGTGTTCTGGAAATACAGCATGTGTTAAATTGCACATTCCTGGAGTCTTATCACTGAAGATCTGACATGTGAAAATTAAAAACACAGGTAACAATGATTCGCTCAGTCTGATGCTTTATTGACTGCATGACAAATCAATACTAACTACAAGGATGACAGAACAGATTAGTCACGAAAGAAATGGACTTTCTAACAGCACCAATGATCCAAGCCTTAAAATGACAGTGCTATGGGCAAAAAATACACTTTTCTTTTTCTAATTGAATGGTAATTTGTTTTTAAATGCCTGTAGGTGCATTTAAAATCCAA